GTCCATGGCATGTTTTCTGCTGCCAAAAGCACAACAACTTCTCCGTGGCTGCAAAGTGCGGAGTGTGTGTCGGCACAGAAGGGCTTTTGGGGTTGCCACCAGTCTAGGTGGCACTTTGGGGATGCTTTTCCCAAGACGGATGGGCTGGGGGGCTGAGGAGTCTCTGCAGCAGAGAGCAGCCTACGCTCCTGGCCCCAGGCTCTGGCTCAGTCCTTTAGAACCCCAGCAACACCAGGCAAGACAGCATCCATGTTGCAGCAGTTTATTCTGAGTTGGCCTGCCCCGTGGTGGTAGACCTGTGATGGCTTGTCAGATCATGGGGCAGGCGGCAGCCGATGGCCAGGACACCCCTGCATGGGAGCAAGCTGGCAGAGATCAATATCTTCTTCGTGATGGAGATTGGCGACCTGGTGGGGAACAGAGCTGGCCGTGAGCATGAGCTATGCACCCCGTTCCCTCCTCTTTGCCACTCCCCCCTCAGCCAGAGCTGCGGTGCCCAGCACATCCCTGTGGTGCCTGGGGACACATGCTGACCCCTGCTGTCACTCGCACCTCTGCGTTGTTTTCTTCTCCCGTAGGGGCTCTGCCGGCGCCTGAAGACTCGTTGCCTCCGACGGCTAGAGCGGCTTCTCCTCTGGCGCCTGGAACCGTGTCCCCTCCGGCGCCTGCTCTGCCGGCGTCTGGATCGGAGGCGGCTGCTCCGGCGCTTGCTGCCCCTCTGCTGGTGACTGGCCATGCTGCTAGCTGCTGTGCTTGCCTCTGTAGGGCTTTGCCACAGCCTGCACGAGATATAGCCGCAGGTGATTGTGACATGCAATGACATCATATAGTTGGCTGGTGATGCAAAGGGGATCAGTGCACCCACCTTCCATCCACCTATCCAACCATTCCTAAGGTGGAGGAAGAGGGCTTTTGCTGCAGAAACCCTGCCCAGTGACGTTCTCCAACCGACAGTGGGTTGGATAGAAAGCTCTCCCTGTTCCTCCCCCATGTTCACAAAGCAGCTCTCGTGCAGGAGTTTGGCACCCCAAAGGCCCCTGCTCAGTCTCGCATCCCAGGCACAGCCATGCTACTGAGCACAATTGGCTCCAAGCGCTGCTGGGTGATGCTGATTCTTTCTTCATTCTTTCAGGGAAAGAAAAGCTAATTGAGTTGCCTTGCTCAGTGTCTTCCCAGCATCAGGAATATTTCCAGAGCAGGTTAAGTGCTTTGAAGTGCTTTCTAAAACTAAATGATCCTTGAGGATTTACAAACATGATAAATATTTTTCTGGAAATTAAGGTGAGGGAACATGCATGTGAAATTTTGTTTCATGCAGAATGTGACAAGGAGATCTCTTCCGGTAGGTTCCACTGTTACAGGTACCTTCTGATGTTGTTTCTTCTCACCCGCCTGTGCAGTGACACCTGCAAAACAGGATACGCCTGCATCAGGATGCAGGATGTGTTTACCCAGACACTATTCTCTCTGCTTCCAAGACACTATGAGAAGAAAAGATCTTGGCACTTACAGATGTGAAACACAATGTTAAGAAGAGACCGACGAGCTTATGCCCCTTGGTGCAGTCTTTCATGGCTGTTGAGCACACCCTGCTGAGCTCGAAAAAGGAATGACTTGATTGGGAAGAGTGAAACATACTGGGCAGAAATCCCCTCTAAAGGGCAATTCTCGGTCCCAGCATGTGCTCCTGTTCCCAGGAGCAGGCAGAGCTTTGAGTGACTTGGTCTAGTGCAAGGTGTCCCTTGCCTGTAGCGTAGGGTTGTTACTGGATGAACTTTAAAGTCCTTTCCAACCCAAAACATTCTCTCATTCTAGGGCTACAGTTTCGCAGACAGCTGCTGTGCAGCCAAGCCCAGCCACCGGCACATCGTTGTCCATGGCATGTTTTCTGCTGCCAAAAGCACAACAACTTCTCCGTGGCTGCAAAGTGCGGAGTGTGTGTCGGCACAGAAGGGCTTTTGGGGTTGCCACCAGTCTAGGTGGCACTTTGGGGATGCTTTTCCCAAGACGGATGGGCTGGGGGGCTGAGGAGTCTCTGCAGCAGAGAGCAGCCTACGCTCCTGGCCCCAGGCTCTGGCTCAGTCCTTTAGAACCCCAGCAACACCAGGCAAGACAGCATCCATGTTGCAGCAGTTTATTCTGAGTTGGCCTGCCCCGTGGTGGTAGACCTGTGATGGCTTGTCAGATCATGGGGCAGGCGGCAGCCGATGGCGAGGACACCCCTGCATGGGAGCAAGCTGGCAGAGCGATCAATATCTTCTCCGTGATGGAGATTGGCGACCTGGTGGGGAACAGAGCTGGCCGTGAGCATGAGCTATGCACCCCCTTCCCTCCTCTTTGCCCTTCCCTCCTCTTTGCCCCTCTTTCTTACCCAGAATCGTGGTGCTCAGGACATCCTTGTTGTCCCTGGGGGGACATGCTGACCCCTGCATTCACTCTAACCTCTGCGTTGCCTTCTCTGGCTCTAGCAGCTCTTCCAGCGCTTGGAGCGATTCTGCCTTCTGTGGCTAGAGCAGAGTCTCTTCCGGCGCCTTGTGTGGTATCCACTCCGTTGTCTGCTGCTTTGGTTTCTGCATTGCAGGCGGCTACTCTTGTGGGTACTGCTCTTCCACTTATATCTGGCCATGCTTGTTGCTGCTGTTCTTGGATTTGTGGGTTTCTGCAAAGGCGTCAGAAGATAAATGTTTGGGGTGATAGTGATGTGTAATGACGTCATGGAGTTGTGTGGTGATGTAAAGTCAATCAATCCATCCATTCACTTGCCCATCTATCCATCCTTCCATCCATCCATTCATCACTGCATCCTTCCAGCGTTGTATCAACACATCCTGAAGATGAATTACAAGTGGGTTTGCCCCAGTAGCCTTGTTCTGTGACATTATCCCACCACTGGTAGTATGCGGACAAACTTCTCCCTATTCCTCCCCCATCTAGCCAAACCAGACCTGACTGCAGGGTTCAGCTTCTCAAAAGGCTCTTGCTCAGTCCTGCATCCAAAGCACAGCCTTCGTGCTGCCCACAGTCATCTCTATTTTAACTGAATGATGTTCTTTCTTCCTTCATCATTTTAGGAAAAGACAGCCAAACTAAGATGATTGCTCAGTGTCATCCCAGCATCAGGAATATTTCCAGAGCAAGTTCTTTTAAGTGTTTGAAGTGTTTTACAATAATAAATATTACTGGAGGCTTACAAACACTATTAATAGTTTTGTGGAAACTGTATTCATGGCTGCTTCCAGACATTAAGTCTTCTCTTTTTAAACATGCGTCAAATTATTCAGGAGTAGCTAGCATCCCTACCCCCAAAGCATCTTTATTTATCCGAATGGGCACATAATTTAGACTTTGAATCTTCACGTCATTGAAGGACACAAAAGGAGAAAAAAGAAGGCGCAAAAAGGCAGCATCAATATAAATATAGGTGCATTCAAGGTAAGTTTGTTGGAGTATTCCCCTTGTTATTAAATACCACACTTGCATTACGAAAATGCATGCATGGGAAGATGCATTGTGGGTGAGAATAGTTAGGCTGAGCAGGTATGTCCTGATACAGGCATAACTGACACCAGTGGTTAAGCATTCTTGTATATCTTTTTTATGCTTAGCTAGATCACAAGGTAAACCTAGTGTTGTTTAAAAAATTTTCAGCTTTTCATGGTTGAATTGTATTTGATTTCAAGGCAATGGAATTGTTTGGGTTATGCATATTTTCCAGCTGCTGTTGGGTGTTGAGCTGGTGTACTGCCGTTGCTACCAGATGTTTTTGGCCGAGGTGGGCAGCTCCATAGAGGAGCCTTCAACCCCGGAGCGAGGGGAAACCCCGCGTACGGGAGCCCCAGTTCTGAGCGGAGAGAGCCGCCGAGGGAGCCCCGGGCCCTGGCCACGCCCTGCCTCAGCTGAGGCGCGCAGGGACTCGCAGGGGGCGGTGCCAGCAGGGACGGCCCCGCCCTGAGCGGGTAAAACCTTCCTCAGGGAGCGCGGGGCCTGCGTGTGGCGCGGCGGTTGGACGGAGGGAGCGGGCGGCCCTCAGCGCCCGGGCGTGCTCTGGCTGCCCCGGCGGTGGCAGCGCAGGCACCAGAGAGAGCCGGTGAGAGGGGAGGCTGCGGAGCAGAGCTCGGGGTGTCGAAAGGGCCTGCACCGGTCTGGTGAGGTGAGGGTGCGCAATGGGCAGGGCTGCAATCGGTGGAGGGCCCCCTGCAGCAGGGACTGAGCTGCGGGACGGTGTCAGTAGCTAAAAGATGCCAGGGAAGCCGAGAGGGAGCTGGTATGCTTGCCCTAGACCCAAACTGTGAAGCTGCCACAAGCATCCATCACAGCACATCGAGAAAAGGGGGGCATTAATCCCGGGCATTGGGAGCTAGTAACAAAACAAACTGTCATGGCCTAAGCCCAGTGAGCAACCCAGAACCACACAGCTCCTTACTTACTCCCCTTTTTCCCCCCACTCCCAGAGGGATGAGGAGGAGAATTGAAAGAATGTAACTCCCATGGGTTGAGGTAAAAACAATCCAGTAACTAAGGTGTAACAGAAACCACTGCTGCTACCACCAATAATAATGATAAGGGAAATAACAAGGGAAGAGAATACAACTGCTCACCACCTGTCAACCGATACCCAGTCTGATCCAAGCAGTGATCTAGCCCTTCTGGGTAACTGCCTCCAGTTTTACATCCTGGGCATGACTTGCTGTGGTATGGAATACCTCTTTGGCCAGTTTGGGCCAGGTGTCCTGTCTCTGCTTCCTCCTGGTTTCTCCTCCTCCTTGGCAGAGCATGAGACTCACAAAGTCCTTGGTCAGAGTAAACATTACTCAGCAGCAACTAAAAACATCGGTGTTATCAGCGCTGTACCCAGGCTGAAAGTCAGAACCACAGCACTGCCCCAAGAAGGAGAAAAATGACTGCTACTGCTGAACCCAGGACATTAACTAATCCAATTAAGGGCTTCTGCGCTTTTTATTTTGCTGGTTTATGTGGGTGGTAGGATTTCAGGTGAGTTTGATTTGTTCCCATCTTTTCTGTCCCTTCCTACCATGTTAGGACCCAGCTGATCTTAACAAAGCAGTGTTGTCTTAGAAATACACCAGCAAGCTAGAAGCTAATTACTGACTTCATATTCTTGATGGCTGATTTAATTATACATGTGGTTAAACAATCTGTGACTATATTGAGTATTCACAAAACTCAAAATGCTACCCAGCTTTTTTCTTCAAGTGTTTGGATTTTTCCTTACAAAAGAGCAAGGAAACTTTTGCCGAGGTGACTACAGGTAATAATAGCATTTTTTGAACCCAGCATTCTATCGTTAGAACACTTTGTCAGCAGATTTTGTGTGTAGAGCTGGTTTTCTTTCTAAAATACTTAGTTTGTAAAGCCTGTTATGGCTTTCATGTACCTGTCTTGCTTGGTTTGCTTAGGGGTCAAATATAGAAGACGGTCTTTCTGAAACATGAAATCCAAGCTTTCCTGACAATCTGTCATCCAGTCTGGACAGGGATGAATGCTCCCTCCAAACTAGCAGTCATATTCAAATTTAACCTCACACATTTTCTTCCTGGTGGAGTTGCTGGGTGACATCCTCCGCTCACTGAGCGGGCTGGGGGCAGGTATTCACTCAGGGTTAATGGGAGGGATAAGCAAGTCTTCACAAGTGTTTGTGAGGTGCCAAACAGCACAGCACAGCCTGCTATCTGTCTGAGTTAATTTTTACTAGGTTAAAGATGTCTTTAGTTTATAACTGTCTCATTTCTAGTAAGTGTGCAGAGTTGAGGCAACTGCAAGGAAAAGAACTTGCCAAGTATGGGTCTTAGTTCTGGGGGCTTTTTGCTTTCATCACAAAGTGATTTTTTTTTCTTATTTTTAATCTGATTCTATTTTGGTTTGATACAGACTAAAATGATGGTGGCTTATGGATTTATTTTTCAGAACATAAGGGAAATGGATTGAATTACTTTAGATGGATTACTGACTTCTAGCAGCAGAAATGGAAATGGCACCATTATAAGCCAAGCGGCTGTGAAGCAAAGAGAGAAGAATGTTTATTTTCCAAGCCACTTGATCAGTTTTAAGCTAATGTAAGCGTATCCCCATTTCTTTTGTGAGGAATTAAAGTTTTCCTCATGGTTTTAGGAGTTATTTGGGTTATGAGATGAGAACAGTGCAAATCTATGCAATATTATCTTGAAGAGTAGATCAACACATACTGGGAGATGAGCAGACTTCCTTGGCGCTCCATGACGAAGGCAATGCTATTATCTACTTACCTTTCAGAGAGTGTCACTTACATTTCATCAGCAGTTTTAGGATGCAAGATAGATGTTGTAATTTCTGTGAGTGTATTAGCTTGGTTATTATTGTGTACATTAATCAAATCCATTCTTTAATTTACTTAAAAGAATAGGTTAGGGACTAGCTTTGCAAGGTATGCTCATAAACAAAAAGAGATGCTGTGTTTTGTTTTGTATATCGAATCTCTTTTTTGTAACTAGCAAAAGCTAGTTACAGTTGCCAAGTGACAACAAGGAATTCATTTCCAAGTCCCAGGCCCTCTGAAGGTTTGAAGCAAATAGTTATTACATATTTTCAGGTTGACCACACAGTGTTTGTGCAACTTAGTTAAAGAATGCATTTATATTCTTCTGAAAATTCTACATTTTGCAGCCCATCCCATCCTTTCCACACCGGAGGTGGTTTCTCATGCTCCTGGGTACATCCCTCTCCTTTCCCATGAGAGGAATAGGTGTCTAGGCAAACGAATAAATTTCTGGAAAATTTCAAGGCAGCCTCTTGGAGGCCTTCTTCCAAAACACAGCCCTGTCAGGTACATTGAGGTAGAGAATTAGCGTGAACTTGAACTGAAAAGTGGACCTTAGGAAAGGCTGGTTTCAGGAGCCATCAATGTGAGAACTGAGGGAGGTGCTCCAGGGCAGAGGTCCAGATGACAGGGTCTTCTCAACTTTAAACTGTCTTTAGGATCCAGCCAGAGCCAAGTCTGAAACTGTTTTGACACATTGAGCTCAAGTTTCGTGTTTGCCTCACTTTGAGTTTCTATATCTTTAAAATGGGGGATAATAACAACCCTTCACTTAGCTATCTCAAAAAGATTTGAGAAGGGTAATTTGAACATGAAAAACAAAATAAATGTTCATTGCTAATAATTTAAGTCCATATAGAAATGAAATTGTAATAAATAAATGATAGATGTACCAGATATTTGATAAATACACTTCATGGAAAGATAATACCCTTTGAACGTTTCAGAAATCAGATCTTTGTATTTAAAGAAGTTTCAGCTCTTTGTTTCATTTTCTGCTCTGCCTCTGTAGAAAGTGACAACAAGCTGAAGTATTATTCCAATAATATTCTTGTTTATTGTCGTTTATAAAAAGGGCTTCTGGCTAAATGTTCATTAGAACTTTTTTATGTCCTATCTGCTATATATCATGACTTTATGGATTTCCTAAATAAAATGACCCATTTAAAATTTTTTAAGATTATGTGAAAAGCATCACATGCTGGAAAATTTTCTAGGTGCTGGATACAACAAAAGCAAATCTCCTTTTCATTTGAAAGGGAATGGCAAAATAATAAATTGTGACTGGTGACATTTTCCTATGCTCCCACCTATTTGTAATAGACTTATTTAAAAGCTGCATTGGCGGTATCCATTTATCTTTTCTCCTGGGTCAATTATGCTGTTGCATTCAAATTAATTCCTTAATCAAGTCCGTTGATAATTGCAGCAGTGAAAGGGATATATTTACCATGGAAATGTAATGCAGGCACTTTGTTCCAGTGCAGCCAAGTCTAATACTGTTCTGCCACAGCGGACTATTAATGTGTTTGTGTGTAGTTTATTTTCCTAATCAACACTCTCAGAAACAGGTATTCTTGGATCTCACTGATGGGGTTGGATGGGCAACACACTAGCATTGAGATTGCTGTCTTCAGGATTTACCACAGTATCTCTTGACATTTCTAAATACATGGAATTTCAACAGACTTTGTGTAGATAGCTCTGTCATTCCAAAGAGGAGCAATCAGAATTAGACCTTGCATGGGCTCATTAAATGTACATTATCACATAGAGTGTAAATGAGAAGGGATGGGCTTCCAAGTGCAGTACAGACCTGGGCAGATAATTAATTATAGCACTGTGGAGGCTTTCTGGAATTTAAACTGCTGATAGAATTTGGTATGCTAGGACAGACAACATTATCATCTAACCAGTCTCCCTGAAATATGCTGGAAATGCACCTATCTATCATCTATTATAATTGAAAAATCACAAGTTGTGTTTAGAAAGCAGTATTGCTGTCCAAAGTCTCTATTGCCCCTGACTTCAGAAACTGGGGTAATTTCAAAAACCTGTTTCTCGCTCTAGGGGATGCTTTGTATAGACGAATTAATGAGAATTCTGTTGTATGTGTGAAGGTGTGAGGCTGTAAAGAGATAGAGCTTGTGAAGAGAGATGGTATCTTCTATTAGATTTAAATACATAGCCAGGAAAAGCCTGGTCATGTTGTTTGGATCACTAATATGTTTCCAGTCTGAAACAAAAATAGGAGGCTTATTTTTGAAGATAGAATTTAAATGTTTTAGCTCCTTTTTTCCGGTCTGAAAAAGAAATAGGAGGGTTTTATCTGAAGATAGAGTTTAAATATTTTAGTTCCTTTACATGAGAAATGAAATTATTTCAGGTTTTTACTTTTCTGGTAAAACTATTGTAAAAACCAGATTTTTGTTTGTTTCAGTTTTAATTTTAAAAAAGCGTTTGTGGTAGCTATTTCTTGTTTAACCTGCTATGACATTCTAACAGAAAGATGCTTACAACTGTCTTTGAGCAACAAAAATGTATTGCTTTGATAAAGTTGGTGATCTACAACTGTTAATTTGGGTTCAGTGAGCTGAAGCAGGTGGAGCCATAAAGCCAGCATGCCATTTCTGACTACTTCAGTTTTCTTTGCAAGGTGTGTTATGTGGGCCCAGCTGGCACATAGGTCCAGGGGGATTCAAAGTAGAGCCTGTACATCTTTTGCGACAGCTCTTGCCCGATTTGCTGACTGCAGAATGCAGTGAAAAGAAAGAATGAGATGCCGTCCTCCCGGTCTCATTAAATGAGAGCAGTATCTCTTGCCTCCAGTCTGTACACATAAATGATGCTAAAATATCTTCCAGTTTGTGGTGTTCATCTGTTCCTGTCTTGTGCTGTAAGAGAGCTAGTTAAACAGGGGTTGCCTTAGCTGCATCCTCTACCAGTCACCACAGTGTAAGTACATTTTAGTTCTGTATAAGGAAGTTCAGCAGCGTTCATCAGTATTCCAGCTAATGGAATTAATGTGTCTAGATTCCTCAGTGCCCTTTTGAAATTTCTCACTGCAGCTTTAATAATGAACACTGTACTCTCCTTTGTACATAAAGTCTGGTCCCTAATTAAAACCCTTCATTGCAGATAATGACTGTTTTGGGGAAAAAACCACATTTTCATTGCAGAAAACCAGCTAGCCCAATTCTACAAACAGCATACAGTTCCTCAAAATGTGTTGTCATGTGTAACAGCAGAACACAGGCTTAAATGAATGTGATGAAACTGAGCTTACAGATATTAATTCAAAAGAAATGGATATTGAAACCATTTATTTTTCATGATTCAGTTTATTAGCACATACTTCTTGTGCAGCCAAGCCTAAAATAAAACTGTATTGAAGTTCTGATACACCACTTAGTGAGAGAGTTCTTTGAACTGCCATTCAGCTCAGCAATGTTGCCTAACTGCCTCAATTCCAATTTCACTTTATATTTCAGTTTGCAAGGCTTCACCCTCCTCCCCTCTGCCATGTATTCTCTGGGGATCCTAAACAGTCTACAAAAATTCCATTTTGTTGCCCCAGGAATAGTGTTATTTGAGGCTTCAGATTGTTTAGGAGCATCCGAAGTAAAATACTTAGCAAGTGATGAAACTTCAAAATAGTAGTTAGATGAAAGCAGTGTCCTTGCTTTTTCTGTTTCAGACTAAAGCTGAAATTCGGCTGCATTTTGAATGCCTGAGTTCAGGTTTATGCAAGAAGGCCAGATTTAAACACAATTCCAGTTGAGATATATGTGCAATATCTCTAATGGGCAAAGTCAAATATATCTCTATGGTAGACACAAGCAAAACACCAATTCCCTCAAGAACCTTTTATGCCAATTATGGTAGCAAGTAGAAAGCCTGGATATTGATGTAACAACTGGGCCGGACTTTTCTAATCGTCTGAGGCAGCTCAGCACTGTCCTAATGACAGGGTTTTTTCCATATTTTTTGTTTTATAAACCTAGTCCTGATCAAAGTCTGTATTACTAACACAGAATGCAAGTAAGAGCTGTTGGTAGGACTGCAGTGTCTCACTTGCAATATTGTGACCTAATACCAATGTGGGTTTTGAGGAAGCAGAATAAAAGCTAGTTCTAATACCAAGCTGGGAATACAAGCTGCCTTAAATTGTAATCTAAACCTAAATTTTGCAAAACTTTCAGGAAAAGTAAAGGAAAAGGTAATTAGTTGTCTGCAATAACTGCCCCTGTAGCGTCAAATGCACTGTGTATAGAGTGCCTTTTGGAGACTGTGGCTCTCTTGTCGTTTGCTGTGTTTGCTTTAGGGATAGTGATCCCTCAAAGAGCCTAAAATGGTCTTAGTCACAGATCAGTGGCTGAACTGTTGTACTTGGTCCCTCTGAATGGATATACCAGAAAGAGGACTATTGGAGATAGTAATTTTTCATAGTCTAGTAGCAGTTAATCAGAAACAGCCAGCTGATGTGATGTTGTTGGTTTGCTCTTCAGTTACTTCATTTTGTTATGAGTATTAGAGTAGAATGTAAAGCTTTATTAACGGTGAAAAGACTTGTATACCAATTTTAGTTTGTACTTCTGTCAAAATAATGCTAGCACCTAATAGTAGATTGTAAGAGCTTAATATTCTGCTATTATGTTAATCTCCAGACACGTTTTCATGAGCCATAAATCAAGTGTTTTCTCTGCACCTCTCAGACAGCAAGGGTCAAAGCTGAACAAAACCGATACGAAAAAACAATAG